GACGTGCAAGCAACTGAGTAGACAGCCAGCAGAACCTACTTGTGTAGGTGAGGAAAACGGTTGGGCAATCCCGTTTTTCCCTGAACTCCACACAACACGCGGACAACTTTGAGGTGCGCCACGTGACTCGAGGCTGCTACGGTACCCGAAGCCCGCCCGGTCGTCGAACGACCCTTTCACCAGCATTTCTCGACGCTGAGACCTTCCACCGGAGTTGATGAGAAAACAATTCTCAAGACAATTTATGTCGCCTCGTCTAAAAATGAAGTCTGGATGGAGTTTTCCCACTTCTTTCACCCCCGTTTCGAGTGAAAGTATGCATGACGAAGAGATTCGAAAGTGGATCTAATGAGAAGACGACGGCCGATTCCTCTTGACCAGCCGTCGGTTGACTTTACCGACACATTCAGCTTCGGGTGGGATGAAAACATGTCAAGTTTTCGTTTTTCATTTCAGTTGGTAGATTTCATCAAAGCATGCTACCATTCTTACAATTCACTCATGCCAATTAATGTAGCAACATGACCGGCCCATCTCCACAGGCTGTACATGTGGCATAAACCTGCTCAACCCGAGTCTTCAATATGAGACGTGTGGTCGTCTGGAAACCGTGCAAACAAACACAAGGTTTCAGTAAAGCCAATCTACAGGCGGTCTGCTATCATCTTCTGGTGGGACGGACCTTGGCATTTCCTAATCATACACACATTCACTCGAAATGGAGTCAATCATAAGGTTACTCGAAACCCACATTTTCTTCACACACGTACACAGCTTTCACGTCTACCAATCATCGTGTCTTGTATTGCAACAGTTTTTTTCACTAATTATGTGTGTTTGCAGCAACCAAACCAAGTGAAGGTATGCGAATGCGTAGGCTTCTTACCATCGGGAAGCTGAACCCATTCCAGGCATTCTCCCATCCTTCAGGACAAGCCTTATCCCAGTGCTGTTGCTGCGTGTGAAAGGCGAAAAGGCTGGTTCGTGACTGGCAGACGGTGCATCTGAAAAGAAAAGACAAAGTGTGTCAGTTTGACTACTTACACTTTATGAGTAATGCGGTATTTTTATTGTCATTTTAACGAGTTTTAATCGGAAAGCTTTTTTCATGTGCAAGATAGAAGTAAATATCCAAAGAATGCGCTTCGAAGTTGTAAATGGACCCAGAATGAGTATTTGGGTCAGCCTTGATTGCGTCAGATGATGTGGCAGTTGAAAATTGAACTTTACGCAGCGAAATTTCACTCAGCTTTGCCTCCTGATGGGCTTTCTTATCCCAGCCGGACTGCACTCTCTGCCTAATTCGGGTCTCATCATAACCCCCTAACAGGACTCGAAGTCGAGTCGTGTGTTTCCAGTGGAAACGGTGACACTTCACCGCACAGCCAAAGCTATGAGTAATTGCTTAACTGGCATCGTGATGCTTGCCAAGTTGTGTGAAATTTCACTCTTAGTCTCTACATTGTCTGAAACGAATTAGGCCGACTCGAGTTTTTATTCTTGAGAGGGACTATTGTTGAATTCCAACCCAAAAGTGGGGCAAATCCAAATATTGACGGACGTGGCAGACATGCTTCCACAAAGCCGAACGGGAGAGGGTATTTTTTCCCATAGGCTCCGCAACTATTTTGCGTCAAGACCAATATCGTTTGTGTTAATTCATCTTTTATTCAGCTTCTTTGTTACGGCACTTGGAAATCTGCAATAGATGGTGCTTTTTCGATCCACTTTCCCTCGAGCTGTCACCAGATCAAATGTACCATGACAGAACACAAAAAGCCTTTCCCAAGAGTTCATCTTTCACACAGATCTATCAAAAGCGCTACAGTTTCAAGCTTAACTCGCAGCTCTCGTTTGTGACTATGGAAGGTATGAAGACCAAACTGACGTGGTCTTTTGTGTGGTTGCAGGCATACAAGTTGTTTAACCTTGTTTTCGCAATTTGGTCATTTTGGAAGGAAGACTTAGAGAAACACACCATGTCCAGAGTCCATTGTATGCATCATCATTTCCAGAGTAGGCCTGTGGACGTGGTACCTTCACAGACGTTTCGCCGGCATCGTCAGTGAGCAGTGCCATAGTACAACTCGTCAGAGGGACAAGTCAAACCGATTATTTGACCAATTTTGGTATCTTTCCTGCCCTGGCCTATTCATCAATCCTATATCCTCGTATCACACCTTCACTATCACAATTTCTTGGTTGTTCACTTAAATGTGGTTTGGTGTACCCTTTTAGCGGAGTTCATGAGAATTCTCCAAATCCCACACTGGCTTTCTCATCCCCCCACCCGCAATTCTCTTCCAATTGGTCTTATCAGAGTCTCCCTCTTGCCACCGAGTCATTTTCTGTCACCGAACTTTTGACTTGTTGGGAAAAATTGAATGGGCTAAATGCATGATTTCGACTCCCCAGACAGCCAGTGAGGCTTGCGACTGTGGTTGCGACTGATGGCTTGTGCAAAAAAGTCACCCGAGCGCCATACAGTGTTGCTGATACAGCCGGATACGTCAGTAACAGACATCCTCAGAGCCGGGAGACACCATTCGCGAAACTTCCCACATACCCTCAATCGCCTTCAGGGACAACCTTCCAGCAGTCTTTGTCCGATAACTCTTTTATATGATTTTTCGTCCATAGGCAGGTTTTCGAGACCATCACCAGTTCATACACATGACATGAATTCACACTGTTTCGTTTAAGGTGATTGGGGGATTGGTGGTTGCTTTTTGTCACAACGTTTCCGTTAAATTGTACCTCACCTTGCCAAAGATGAAAGAGGCTTGGCTCTCGGAGAGCCACAAGACTGGCTTACCTCGAAATGTACGGCTCGATGTACTCGACGCGTCTGGGCTGCATCATGTAGTGCTCAAGAGTGGCCAGCCAATAGGATCGGCCGTTGCGCATGTTGGCATGACAGTGTCCGTTCGCTTCCGCGAAGCAGCTGACGTAGGGCATCAGACTGAATTTGCGCAGACAAGAGCCCGGAGTGCCTGAAATGGGAAAAAACGATTGTGCAACCCTCAATCGGCAAATCTATTCGACCCTGCCGGCTCTCATTTTACTCGTTTTGACGCGAAAAATCTATTCATTGCACTCTTTCTCCCAGTTTCCTACTCCTTCACTTCTTTCACTGCTAACCAGCTCATCACATGCTTCTGCCCATAAAATATGCAGGCTCTGTTGTGCCGGTGTGACAAACCGATTCATAGGTCGAGCTCATCGAAAGAATACATTGACTCATTGCTATGCAGTCTTTTGATGTTACGACGACGGTCAAGTTGACGCAGTGGATAGGAAATCCTTATTCGGCTCGAGTGAAAACCAGCTCAGGCGTTGTAAAGAAGGTTATTCAGAAGAAAGTGACCCATACAAAAGCTTCTGGCTAATATAAAGTTATGAGGATTAAGCAGTTTTACCCTACATGCCATTTTTATTCACATAAATAATTGCTGAAAGGACTGAAAAAATAAAATTCAAGAAAACTGATCTGCTCTACTGCTATAAATTTATCTAAAACATTAAAATTAAATGCTTTGTTTACAATTAGGTTTTTGGAGTATGTGAGGAGATAAGGGAACTATTAGTTGAATTTCTATGAAATTAAATGGAAAAATAAGGAAAAATTCAACAAGCAATCCTCTTATCACCTGAAATGAAATAGGGTGAATGCAATTTATATATAATTTTTAAAAATTACTAAAAGAAAATTGATAAGTATAATTACCTAGAGTTTTGACTGGTTTAGTCTAAATTATACACACACATGAGCATAAAAATACTGACTCGAATGTGTGATGACTAAGATCTAAGTAATATGAA